AAATTAAGTGAAAATTCAAAACTACCCCTCACTCATTTTAAATGCAAACCCTCCTTCCCCATTTATTATCCGCCGCTTCAACTTCTTCTCCTTATCAGTTTTCCTTCCTCATTTATTACCCACCGCTTCTACACTCTTCTCCTCTCCTTCTCACTCTACCTTATCTCCTTCCCTCCCCTACTGGTTCTGTAACTCACTCCGCCGCTGCAAGTCCCTACTTGTTCTTCTTTGTTGCTACCCCCAACTTCTCCTCCGCCGTTACCCCTACCTACCTCCTATCTCCATCGCAACCAGCCCAACTCCGAGCCCATATCAGAAGACGGAAAAGAACCCTAATCCCACCCCTGACCGTTCGATTAAGATCTCAAATGTTATGACCCACCCGCATGCAACATCGATTGCAGATTCGTAGGAGCAAACCTATTCGAGTAATGATTTGGGTTCTTATCCAGTCTCACCGGAAACCCAACCCGCACCGGAAACATTTCGTATGCTCGTACGTATTCACTTTGGGTATTCGAGTGACTCTGAAAGCGATCCAACTTGGGCTAGGAGGAAGATCTATGGAGACAGGGTGTTGTCTGACAATTCTCTGAGGCTGGATGGCGTGGATGAAGAGGACGAGGTCTGCTCGGCAATGGCGGAGGGAACAAAGGAGCATGCACTGCCCGTGGCTGGCCATGATACTTTTAAGGGTAGTACCTCTTCTTTCATCTCTATCCCTAGATTGGTCTATATGTCTTATTTTCTTGGGTTTGAGTTACGGTGAAAGCATGATTTTGGGGTTTGAGTTACAGTTAGGCCGTATGGGGTCTAGGGTTTTTGTGTTGGTTGAAACTTATGATGATTTGGGGTTTGAGTTAAAATTAAATGTATGAATATGTTGCATATGTTTGTAACTGTAATTGTAGCAGCCCAATTGAAAAACTGTAGGAGGCTCGATTACAAGTGCATTTGACTTAGTGGATCTGTGTGTCAGAAATGTTACTCGAAAGCATATTTCATTTTATCATGCATATGGGCTTACAAAAAAGTTGTCCTTGTACACATTACAATGTGTTTATATTGTGCATTGTGTCGGTACATGTACATACAAAAACATTGTTACACACAAACTGCGTTTACAATCACCAAAAAAGCAAAAAAATGTGAATGTATAACACCTTTGTAGCAGTTCATATGTGAAGAATGAATGACTCTTCAATTATGAATTGTTCTTCAGTTGGGTCTGCATTGTTGGTAGTTGGCATTTGTCCAATTAGATATGCCCTAGCTGATTCATATAGCTCTGGATTGATCTGGATGTTTTTGGGTAAGATCCTTTGCTTTCCAAAGAGTTCTTCCCTATGTGCTGCAACTTGAAATTGTTACATCCATTGTTTTGCATGACACTTTGCATTACACATTGATAGCTTAGAAATACATTGTTCAAAGTGCTTGGTGTGAGCTCTTTGAAAGCAAATTGAACACTATCAATTAATTGTGTTATAGTCTTTGGGGCTCTTTGATATTTTAGTGAATCAATAGCCCTAAAGAACCCCAAGTCCAACACATTCAGGCCTGGACTGTTTGGGGGCTGACATATGAGTTGGATGTTCCAACCATTGTCTGTCCCACACTTCACAACCCTAAACCCTCTGGATCATCAACTGGAATATGTGGTCTAGCATTATCTTGTTGAATCATGATACTTCTGTTTTCATAATCTGGCCATTTTTTTTATTGTTGGCATAACTGTATTCAATAGCATATCTTTAATCATTAATCTTGTCACACGTGTGATTGGTTTAGTCATTAGAGTCCCAGCAGGACTATTTTTGCTTGATCTTTTGGCTGGTTCTTCAAAAGTAAAGGGGAATATACCTACTTTACCATCCCACTCCACTCCCCCATTCTATCCCAGCCTTGGCCTACCAACCACAGCCAAGAACATGATTTTAGGGATGAATTTTTTGGAGTGCACTCGTGTGTATGGATCAGTTTCATTATGCATAGTGTAAAACCTTGTTGTTTCTTTGGAGAGGTAAAACCACTTCTCATCAATGTGTAAGTAGTTGTGAAAATCATGAAAAATAGGGCTGCTAGGAAAAGAAGTTGGGTTTAAGTGACTTCAACAATACTCTAACCTTTTAAGTTTCCCAGCTTCACTCAATAAGGGTTTCATAGCACTTGAATGTCTTCTAATTTCCTTTCTTTTAAACCATCTATGGACTGTAGATTTGGAAACTTGCATTGCATAGTCCAGAGCACGCATATTTTCTCTCTAATGCAGTGGTATTTGACTAAGCTTTTCAGCATCAAACATAACCCTTTTTCTGCCCACATTTCCCTTGTAGTGTGTTTGCAAATTCACAAGCTGCCCACCAAGCATTTTCTCTTTAGCTTTCTTCCACATCCTATGCACAGTACGGGATGAAATGTTGAACTCATTTGCTGTCTTTTTTATTTCACCCCTCTGAAGTTTCCCACCACACGCTAGTAAAAAATGGCTTCTAGTGACATTAAATTGGTGTCACTAAATGATTTAGTGACACTCTGAAAGTGTCACAGAAAAGCGGGGTTAGTGACGCTAAATTTAGTGTCACCGTTAACAAGTCACTTTTGTGTCACAAAATTATGACATATAAACATCACAGAGAACTGTGATATATATGTAAGAAGGATTTTTGTGATACCAATGCATCATTCTTTTTAGTGATATATACATACACTACTAGAAATGACTTTACAGTGACACCAAATTAGTGTCACCAAAAGTTTCTGTGACACTAAAAAAACGTCGATGTACATGATTCATTAGTATATATATTTTTATATATATTTTATATTAGTATATATATTAATACAAATAAACCAAAACATTAACATTAACCAAAATCTCAAACATTTTATTTATATCTCAAGATTTCATATGAATGCACATGATTCATAGGGGCATACCCGAAAATCATAAATGTAATTAAGTACAACTCAAAAAACAAAACACAAGTTACAATTATAGCTAGAATTGAGATAAAGCACGGTCTATAGGACATAAAACAATCTTTAAGTGCCAAGCTCCGAAAATGGCATTCTTATGGAAGTAATCAACAACAAGTGCTCCCTTTTCCCCATTCACATCAACTTGTCACTTGTGATAATAATAACAAAATGCATGATTGGAGAAGTATTAAAAAAAAGTTCATATTTTGGAGCGACTAAATCTGCCTTGTAAACAAGAGTGTATACGTACAAGACTTTTGATTCTTCCGAAGCACATTGTCATAACTTGTAACCTGAAATCAATGAAACAAAATCTAACCTCAAAATACATTGTCGACAAAAGATTCAAGTTGTGTATAAAGTTAAAGGCAAATTACACCTCGGTAATAAATCAATTCCATATGCTACACCAAGGAGCAAGTAAAATAAATCACATTCACTTTAATATGCTACATGTAGAAATGGCCTCACATATTTTATTTTCAACTATATTCAATTCATGCATATGTTTTTTCAAGTCCATACCTGAAGCACTTTCTGGATCAAACTCTTTCAGCGTTTCCTGTCCTTTTTTCAAATCTTGATGATGTTTTTAATAAAAAAAGTGCTGAAACATAATGTTTAGAAACCTTATACATGAGAGAAATGCATTACAAGTGTATAGAGCACATCAAAACCTTTGTTTTTATATTTTTGTGGGCCTCAAAAGGAGCACTGAGACGAGAGTTATGTCCATTGACGAGCACTTTGTCACGGTGCGTCAAAATAAATTCAATACTAACCACTTATACGTAGTATAGCGTAGTAGAGTTCGTATCCACAGGGAAAGGAATAATTCTCTTTTTATGATACTTAGTAAATAAAAGGGGGGATTTGGATTGAGTGATTTAATTTAATTAAGAACTAAGATGAACAACCTATATGTGTTTAATTCAAAGATAAAAAGGACTTGGCATTGCTACTTTCCGCTTGTTGATATATTTTAGTCGATCATTGTTATATCTATAACTTATTCCCTCTCGAATACTCAATCGGGGAGTATATCCACTTCATCGAGGGTAGTTATTAACAACGACCGTTCATTAATAACCCTTACTATTAATCAAATATAGAACAACGCCTTATACCGATTTAATAGTAGCATTTAATCTTTCTAACTCCTTGATGAAATCAATTGAGATTGATAACCTCAACACAACGGTTTCGGTTTAACCAACAAAATTAATCCCTCTTAAGTTTATTAACCACGACCGTGCATTAATAAACCGAAGTTACTTACTTGTGAAACCATCAACGATTAACCATCGGTTCGTTGATCGTTTCTAGTAATAATTAATATATGAAACAAAACTAGTTGATCCTTTAAGTGATGTTCAAAATATTAATATGAAATATGAGTAGGAATTAATTAATATTCAAGGAAGAATATTATTAAAGAAAATGAATCCTACTATAATTAATATCGAGATGTTAACTAATTGTCATCTTAGCAACACTCCCCAACATTAATATAGAGGAAGAAAATAGCATTCTAACTAATGTCGAGATGTTAACTAATTGTCATCTTAGCAACAGTCCCCGACATTAATATAGAGATGGTATTAAGGAAAGAACTATTAATTAATATTCAAGGAAAGAAGTTAAGAAAATAACTCACAACTTTAATAATCAACAAGCTTCAAGAGCAACACCAAGAATGGAAGTTTAGCTCCTCATTTGGAGACTAAACATGATATAAAAATATAAGAAATGCTATTCTAAACTGAGCTTAGGAGTATAGAAGAAGGGATGATTTTTTTAGAGAAAAAAGTGTGCTATTTATAGGTGTTTTTCAACACCTTTGGCCGGGTACCCGACCGGGTCAAGTACTCACCCGACCGGGGTACCGGTCAAAATCAGATAATCTTCCACGTTTTTGTGTTCCAGCACGTTAAATTGTCTCGGGTCAAGTCAGACCCGACCGGTTCAAGTAAGGGACCCGACCGGGTTTGGTCTAAATTAGATTTTTCCAAATCTTTGTGATCTTCAGCATGTTCTGGTGTTCCGGGTCATATCTGACCCGACCGGGTCGAGTAAGGGACCCGACCGGTCTTATTTTTTTCTTCTTAGATCCGGTCTTCAACTGACCCGACCGGGTTCAAGGTCTGACCCGGTCGGGTTTTTGTGCTCCTGGGTATTTTTGTCTTCACCTTTTCTCCCCTTTTCCTTGCTACAAATTCTATCACTATTCTATAACTACGAAAAGAAGGAGAAAACAATTACAAACAAAATAAAACAAGTACTTACAAACTAACTAAAAGAGATGGAAAATCCACACCCAATCAATATAAAAACATACATTTATGCACTATAAACTAGTGCATATCAAACACCCTCACACTTGAATTTTTACTCGTCTCGAGTAAAACAAATTCTGTCCAAGAAGTCCTTAATTGACAAGAGTAGCAACACCAACATCCACAAGTGTTTATAACAAATACATAAAGTATCTCCAAAACCAAAAGAGTAAAGATGGGTATTCAATTTCAATTTCCTCATCCGACGAACTCTCTATAGTAATCACCCTCAGGATCCTGCAAAATCAAAAGAAATAACTTTCTCTCATTCTCTCATTTTGCCTAGGTGCCCTTTCAGGTTTTCAACCCACCTTCTTACATTTTTCTTTAATGAATCTCACAACTCACTCTTATATTTTTTTTTTTTGCATTTATTTTTGCTTAAGCTGCCCTTTGTGGGTTTTCAACTTAACAAGCTATTTTTTTAGATAAAAATGAAAAGAGTAGGATTGTGAGCTTACCAGAATAATCTCAACACCACCACACTTAGTACCTGGCACTGTCCCTAGTGCCCGCCCATACCTCCACCGTGGTGTCTGTCTTCATCCATGTGGTCCCCGTCATATCCACCATCATCGCCTCCACCACCGGAACTCGAGTCTCCAAAATACCCCCATGTAGTCGGATCGTACCAAGAGGGTGCGGGAGGGGGATTTGCCATAGATGCAAATCCACTCTGATGTGCCACATAGGAATATAAAGCGCCATAGGTCCTACGCTGATCCTCCTCAGATCTCCGCCTGTCCTCCTCATACCTACGCCAGTCTGCTTGCCGCTGGTCCTCCATCCTCTCAATGCTCTGGTTGAGCGTGACCATGTTATCGAGCATTTGTTGCTCGAAAGGTGTGTAGTGGAATGCTTGAGGTTGTGGTTGTTCGGGTATGATTGAGGGTTCTTCATCATCTTCATCTTGGATGGATTCTTCATAATGATCCTGGATTGCCCTGGGAAGACAATAGTGATGACCATCCCCGATTTGGTGATTGATGATATCCAGGGGGACGTCGGCCGAGGGTATCTAGAGGTAGATGGAAGTGCGTGGGAGAATGCGCCAATTATAGATGTGTGCCCCAGTTGGTGTTGTGTGCGAGGGGACCAAGTCTAGCGTCTTTTGTAAAAGCCACTCAGTGCAAATAAGTTGTCTTGAGGTGATGGGGTCGGGGTCTATAAAACCATATAAAGTGGCTAGATGTGTGATTAGGCCCCCCATAGCAATTGGTCCTGTTGATGTTGCCACGTTGTTGAAATGAGTCCATAAGATGGTGGCAACATCAACTTGATCTGGGCCCGGCAAAACAGCTTGTGCTAGAACACACACATCCCAGATACGTGTGTGATGATTATTCGGTCTTCCGAGAAAACAATTTGAGCAAAATTTTAAGAATAGTCGGAAGACCGGATGTTGCACACGATTCACACTCAGTTTAGATAGATCAACCACATTCTTTCCGGTCATTCTTCTCCACAATTCATACCCCACAAGAGAATCATATGTACGTGCTTCATCAAACCATGGGAGACCAAAATGTTGAACAAATTCTCTTTTGGTTAATGAACGATCCTCATTTAGTAAACGAAAGGTGATTATGTCATTTGCATGATCATTCACATCTTTTGTATACGCAAATGAGCTAAAAAATTCATACACCAAATGAGGATATGTCACATATTGCATTTCAAACATTCTAGATATTCCAATTCTTGCAAATATGTCACGCATCACAGTATCAATCCATAGTAGTGCTAAAGTAGTTAAGCACATAAAACGGGATTGTTTTACCTCCCTCTTTGCTTGGTTGATGAAGTTTTTCCGTTGAGCCTCCATAGCAAACTCCACGCTCTCATAGCCCGCTACCGGTGGGATAGCTCGATTTCCCCTTGAGGAAGAAGCTTTTGACTTTCTTGGAGCCATTGAAGTCCCCTTTTTTGGGTTTTTTTCTTGAGTGATTTTCGGACTTGGGTAGGGTGGGGTTTGGAACTTTGGGATTTTGGTGGGTCTTGGGTATTTTGGGGTTGTGAGAGTGGAGAGAATGATTATTAGGAGAAGAAATTGGGATTTCTTGGGATTTTTAGTAGAAAAATCGGAACTTTGGGGGATGGGGTTAGGGTTTCGGATTTTTGCAAATGGGGAAGAAAATGGGATTTTATGGGTATGGCTGTGTTGAGAAGATTGAGGAGATGAAGATTATGGTGTTATTTAGTGGATTTGGTGGAGAAATGGTGTAGAATCGAAGGTTTTGGTGTGTAAAAATGGAGGGTTTTGAGGATTTTTTTCGTGGGGAGGAAGATGAAGTGGGCTGGGGAGTTGGTCGCCCGACTAGGTTAAGTGCGAATTCCCAGTTTACCCGGTCGGGTGAGGTCTTCCGCCCGGTCGGGCTCTGTGGTTTTTCTTATCCAGTGGCTACTGGAACGACTATCCGGTCGGGTGCGTTAGGGTACCCGGTCGGGTCTTGCTGATTTTTTAAAAATTAAATGTGTACCCGCCCGAGTTTCAGAAATACCCGAATGGGTATGCATTCCAGTGTGTTCAGAGCCAAAAATATGCGGAGACCTGGTCGGGTTTTGGAAGCCCCCGGTCAGGCATATGCTCTTTTTGTTTTAGTTAGCAACCCGGTGGCCGTGTTGCCCGGATATTCTTTTTTTATTAATAAACCTGACCGGGGTGTTTGAGATACCCGGTCGGGTTTCAGCCCAGGCTATTTTTTTTTTTTTAAATTATAACACACACAACTGAAAAAATATGAAATTAAAAATAAAAACTTGGGTTGCCTCCCAAGAAGCGCTTGATTTAATGTCGCGACACGACGTTATTTTTATTTTATTTTCTATTTTAAGTGGGATCGTGAGCATCCCTTGTTTCATTTTTCTTCCTCTGCCTTTTCCAGTAAGGTCGAGATTTCTTTCTCATTACCACCTCAATTGTATGTGGTTTTAATTCGCACCGAGGCGACTTTTTAAGTTCTTCTCCTTTCAAAATAGATTTTTTTGGCTTAATTTTTATTTCATTAAAAATTAAAATTTTTTCAGTTCCGTATCCAACAAAAATATTTAGTGTCGGTGGTGGTTCAAAAACATTTAAAGAACAAAGAGATTGATCTTTAATTTGTTTTTTCGTAGAATCAAAAATGTTGAATTCTACCTTTTGATCATCAAACTCTAAAGTTAATGAACCATTAGACACGTCTATTTTTGTTTTTGCGGTTTTTAGAAAAGGCCTACCCAAGAGGATGGGTGTAGTTTGGTTATCATCGCCCATTTCCAGAACATAAAAATCCACAGGGAAAATCAAATTTTCTACTTCTACTAGCACATCTTCTACTACACCCTTCGGGTAAGTATTAGACCGATCCGCTAGTTGAATCACTACAACAGTTTGATGTAGTGGCCGAGTTGTAAGGATTTATATAAGGAATAAGGAATGACATTTATTGATGCTCCCAAATCCAACAAGGCCTTAGAAAATACGGTATCCCCTATTTTGCAAGGAATAGTGAACATGCCTGGATCGCTACATTTCTCAGGGTGTTTCTTTTTTAAAATGGCCGAGACACGTTCACTCACTTCAACTTTTTGTTTCCCTTCCAGTTTATTTTTCTTTTTCATTGTGCATAGTTCCTTTAAGAACTTTGCATAACGGGGAACACTTTTGATCAGTTTGAAGAGTGGGATGTTTACCTCAGGATTGACGAATGTTTCGTAGATGTCCCGATCATTCTTCAGCTTCCTCGTGTCTTTCAATGCCTCAGGGAATGGAGGGAGTGGTTCATATGATGACAGTGGAGGGAATTTAGTCTTCATTGGTTTCTCCTCTTCTTGTTGAAAGCCTTCTTCAAGATCACCCTCTTGCTTCTCCTCCTCAACTTCTCGTGGTTGCAATTCTTTACCGTTCCTCAACATGATTGCAGTGACATGTTGTCTTGGGTTTTGCTCAGTTTGGGAGGGGAGCCTACCCGAATCTTTTGCTTCAAGTCGACTTACGGCACTTGAAATTTGGCTAACTTGAGTTTCCAAATTTTGAATGCTCGACTTGGTTTCATGTTGGAATTGCATCATGGTTTGTTGGAATTGCCCCATGCTTTGCTGCATTGTTCCCATATTAACGGCCAGCGCTCGAATCATGTCTTCGGTGGACATACTCGAGTTCGATGTTGGGCCTTGTGGTTTCTATTGTTGTTGAGGAGGATTTGTTTGAGAATTTCCGTACCTTAAATTCGGATGATCCCTCCATTCCCGGGTTGTAAGTATTTCCTTGAGGATCGTACCTCCTTTGACCTTGGAATCCCAAAGCATTGACTTGCTCGGAGTTCTCTTCTTGTAGCGTTGAGCAAGAGTCTGTGGGATGCCCTTGTGTTGAACAGATGTCGCAGACCTTGACTTCTTGGGTTTTTGGATTTAAAAGGAAATCTTTAATCAAAGAAGTCAAGCCGGCTACTTGACTCTCCAACAAGTTGTTGGATTCCGCTGCCATAACTCGTTTCGATGATGACCTTCCGTTGTAATGTCTCGAGTTTTCGGCCAACTCCGAAATGAGATCTCTTGCTTGAAAAGGGGTTTTGTTAACAATACCCCCTCCGCATGCCGCATTCACCATGCATCTATCTTGATCAACAAGTCCATCGTAGAAGTAAAGGATGAGATCTTGTTCCGAATACCCATGATATGGCAACTAGCACATAATTTTTTAAAGCGCTCCGAATATTCATACAAGGTCTCATTATCCGCTTGTTCAATGTTGCTGATTTGCTTCTTGAGACTTGAAGAGATAGATGCGGGATAGTACCTGTCAAGGAAGCTCTTTTTCATTTGAGCCCATTTATCGATGCTCCCCGAGGGAAGATAGAATAGACAATATTTGGCGGTGTCTTTGAGGGAGAATGGGAAGGCTCTCAGCTTGATTTGCTCCTCGGACACGCCATTGGGGCACATGCTTGTGCACACAATATGGAACTCTGACAAGTGTTTATTTGGATCTTCCCCTCGTAGGCCATGGAAAGAGGGAAGTAGGTGAATGAGCCCAGATTTTAGCTCGAATGTGACCCCCGTATCAAGAGTTGGAAAAGTGATACATAAGGGTTGTTGATTTAGATTCGGAGCCGTGAGCCATGTGGAAGGACTCTTCGGATTCACTAGAATGAGAACTAGCACTTGATGATTCCTCCGAAGAAGTATTCGGAAATAGATTCTTGAACCTCTCGAAGCCTTGTTCTGTTTCGGGCTTTGTTTGGTAGGTGATTTGGTTTATAGATCGGTGTTTAACCATATACTCAAACAAAGCTCAGCCAAAATAGAAATCTTTTAAATGTTTTTTTTTTTTTCTTTAAATAAAATAGAAAGAAAAATAATTGCCTTTCCCCGGCAACGGTGCCAAATTTGACGAGCACTTTGTCACAGTGCGTCAAAATAAATTCAATACTAACCACTTATACGTAGTATAGCGTAGTAGAGTTCGTATCCACAGGGAAAGGAATAATTCTCTTTTTATGATACTTAGTAAATAAAAGGGGGGATTTGGATTGAGTGATTTAATTTAATTAAGAACTAAGATGAACAACCTATATGTGTTTAATTCAAAGATAAAAAGGACTTGGCATTGCTACTTTCTGCTTGTTGATATATTTTAGTCGATCATTGTTATATCTATAACTTATTCCCTCTCGAATACTCAATCGGGGAGTATATCCACTTCATCGAGGGTAGTTATTAACAACGACCGTTCATTAATAATCCTTACTATTAATCAAATATAGAACAACACCTTATACCGATTTAATAGTAGCATTTAATCTTTCTAACTCCTTGATGAAATCAATTTAGATTGATAACCTCAACACAACGGTTTCGATTTAACCAACAAAATTAATCCCTCTTAAGTTTATTAACCACGACCGTGCATTAATAAACCGAAGTTACTTACTTGTGAAACCATCAACGATTAACCATCGGTTCGTTGATCGTTTCTAGTAATAATTAATATATGAAACAAAACTAGGTGATCCTTTAAGTGATGTTCAAAATATTAATATGAAATATGAGTAGGAATTAATTAATATTCAAGGAAGAATATTATGAAAGAAAATGAATCCTACTATAATTAATATCAAGATGTTAACTAATTGTCATCTTAGCAACACTCCCCAACATTAATATAGAGGAAGAAAATAACATTCTAACTAATGTCGAGATGTTAACTAATTGTCATCTTAGCAACACTCCCCGACATTAATATAGAGATGGTATTAAGGAAAGAACTATTAATTAATATTCAAGGAAAGAAGTTAAGGAAATAATTCACAACTTTAATAATCAACAAGCTTCAAGAGCAACACCAAGAATGGAAGTTTAGCTCCTCATTTGGAGACTAAACATGATATAAAAATATAAGAAATGTTATTCTAAACTCAGCTTAGGAGTATAGAAGAACGGATGATTTTTTTAGAGAAAAAAGTGTGCTATTTATAGGTGTTTTTCAACACCTTTGGCCGGGTACCCGACCGGGTCAAGTACTCACCCGACCGGGTACCGGTCAAAATCAGATAATCTTCCACGTTTTTGTGTTCCAGCACGTTAAATTGTCCCGGGTCAAGTCAGACCCGACCGGGTCAAGTAAGGGACCCGACCGGGTTTGGTCTAAATCAGATTTTTCCAAATCTTTGTGATCTTCAGCATGTTCTGGTGTTCCGGGTCATATCTGACCCGACCGGGTCGAGTAAGGGACCCGACCGGGTCTTCAACTGACCCGACCGGGTTCAAGGTCTGACCCGGTCGGGTTTTTGTGCTCCTGGGTATTTTTGTCTTTACCTTTTCTCCCATTTTCCTTGCTACAAATTCTATCACTATTCTATAACTACGAAAAGAAGGAGAAAACAATTACAAACAAAATAAAACAAGTACTTACAAACTAACTAAAAGCGATGGAAAATCCACACTCAATCAACATAAAAACATACATTTATGCACTATAAACTAGTGCATATCATCCATTTTTGTCCAGCTCTTTTTTTGTCAAGCTTTACTTCAAAATCTGTTGCAGCTTGTCCTACATCAATTAATAAAAGAATCATCGCCAGTTCTCTAAGTGCACATGCATAAGTGATAGGCCAATTTTTAGACTTGAAAAGGAAATTTCCAAACTTTGTACGTGATTATAATTTAAATACAAAAGCAACCAAAAATAAGTATTAACATAGAATTTATAATATCAAAATGTATACCATAACACACTATGACATAGAATGGTTATTAGTTATTCAACTGCCCGGCCTAAGACAAAACATATGATGAAAGAAGAAATGGATAATATCACATATGAAGTATAAAACATTGCTCCTTTTGCACGGGTGAAGAAGGGTGACTTTATATGCAAAATCAGGGTGGTTTCTGTGTTGGGGTGTACCTGTTCTTCCGTTGAAGGAGCTAAGAAGGAAACCAGAAAATGGTACCTCCCGCAGACTTCCTAGAACTGGAACTTCCACACTTCTAATGAGTAGATCATACTCCACTTCAAAGGAATCAAATATACTAGTACCAGAGTGCAGTTTAGATTCGAATAGCAGTAATGATAAATCCCCTAAACAAGATAAGATTCCTTTTGGATACACGAGAAAGGATGGTCTATTAATTGGACTTGGACTCACAGTTGTTGGCTATGGCCTAAAAAGTGGATTGGAGTTATTTGGTGTTGATTCACTACAAGCTGGAAATGTAGTTCAACTGGTCATGGTCTTGGGTCTAACAGTTGGATGGATCTCGACATACATCTTCAGGGTTTCAAACAAGGAAATGACCTACGCTCAACAATTAAGACAGCATGAGAGCAAAGTCATGGAGAAACGACTAGAAAGCTTAACAGAAGCAGAGCTACAAGCATTACTTGAACAGGTGGAGGAAGAGAAGCTATCTAAAAGTAAACAAGTTTAGTCTAGGCCAACGTTCACCGTTTCTTTATCTACAGATCATTCAAAGTGCAACTGTATGCATAGAGTAGTTTCTGCAAAAGATGCTAAAAGAGATAGTAAAAAAGGCCTCATGGAGAGTTGTTGATAGATGGTGTATATGGGAAGTGGAAAGTTCATTCTTCTTCAGTTGAGAGGCTATATGTTGTACAAACTTATTTCTACTGAATTACAGGTTGAGCTCATGTTTGGAAATAGAATACATCTCTGTAGTATTGTGAAAATAATAAATAAAATGGTCATCATAAAAAAACAAAAATGTAAGATATTAATCAAATGAAGTCAAGTGTACATGCCAATGGACAATTTTCAGGAATCTGATTATAGTCTAAAGTAAAGAAGACTCATAATTTTCAAGATTTTGAAAATCCAAAACCAAAACTGAAGTGACATTTCATTTTGAATTGAGTTTCCAAAACTCGATTAATTTGTTTTGTTGGGTTGGAAACCGAGAAATTTAACTTTTTTGTAAACTAGGCCCCTAAAAAATTAAAAACATACCTTAACTCCCTCTCACATGTCTTCTGGCATCTTAAAGCCAAAAAATTGGGCTTTTTATTCTTTTCCAACTAAACATCTATACATGGAATTGATGGAACACCTTCATGTTTAACATTCTAAATTGAAACGTAGCACTTTGATATCATCAGGATAGGTATCAAAAAACTTTTTGCATAAGCTCAAGATATCCAAGAAAGAGTTATCATATTGAAATCATAATATTTTAGTTCCCTTTCTTGAAAGTGCATAAATAAGAGTATCCATTAAGAAGGTTTACCAAATGTTGCAGCTTCCAAACAATGACGAGTATGAGAAAGAACACTATACAGATCACCTGCAATATGAAATGCAATAAAGTAATGAAATATACTTATACACACTAATATAAAACATGAACAATACGAATGACCTTACTTTTCTTTGTGTTGTTTTAAACTGCTGGAACAAATAATAATGATACATCTCAATGTTGTTCTTTCCTAAAGTTGTAAATAAGATCAAAATATAAAGTATTGTATACGATTATTACTTACTAAAAGAATGATAAATTTAGAATTATCAAATGGATACTCACAATTTAGGTAGCTCCTCATTTGTTTTTTACCCCTTCTGGCCATAACCGCCCTAAAAGAATCAGATCTACAAAAAATCAAGTCAAGTAATGAAAGCTAAATCTACAAAATCCTAGATTTAGTTAACTTAGTAGCTTCAAAACTATGGTAAACCAGTAAAAATAAATAAAAAACCATTTACACATACCGGCAGAAAAAGTATGGTAAACCAATCATTTACATACATGAAACTTGTCAATAGTCTTCAGTCCATCAACAGAGCAGATTGTCCAACTATATGTAAAAACTACCCTAATTCACACCGCATAAGCATCTCAACCAAGGATCGGAGATATGTAAAAATTAATCTCGATAATGAAGATGCATACAAAACCTTCTATATAGATTTATTCACAGAACATAGATGTAGGAATAGATTATAAAAAAACGTCAAGCTACCAAACGGGGCGATTAAACAATTAGAACTGAGCGAAACCTGGCGGTTAGGGTTCACCGTAGTGTGGAGAGAGTTAAATTGTGCGAACCGTACGAGAGCTTCGTAGCAGAGGTGCGGTCGGTGGGATACAACGGCGATCCAAACAAAACCGGCGCAGATCTCTCGAATGGATTGGACCAGAAGCAAGAATCGTTTTCTTAGACGCCTGACTTGGATATCTCTAACGCAGATCTCACGGTTTTTCACTTCACTGCTCAAGGGTTTCTTATTTTCAGCCTACGGAGTTATTTTTTTCACTTTGGCCTTTGCCGCTTCTAGATGAAATTAGAAATAGTGAGGGTACTCCGATTTTCACCCCTCAGTATCTGAAAGGATTGGATAGAACCTGTATATCATCGCCAGAGAAAGAGAACGATGGGAAGCCGCAGAAATTTCCAGACGTACCCAGGTGAGATGCGCCTGAAAAGGAGCATTGTTAGGTGTGGTGCCCCCGTTGGTCGGGGATGGGGTCCCTTACCGCCGCCGCATACGAGAGTTTGCTCTGTGATTTAACCGGTCCGATGCCTTCCGCCGGCGGCAAGACTGCCGCACACGCATCAGGCCTTATGAAGAAGATGATGCGCAAGTCTAGAAAGAAGGCAGAGCTTTCTCAGGTTATGTGAATGAAGAGAGAAAGAGTGATAAAATATTACTCCGTAGGTGTTAAAAAATATGATAAAATAATGTTAAAATAAAATAAGGTGTGAACGTCACTATCTGATATTGATACAATTGTGTCACAAACTAATGACGCATATACATCGTAAAAAAGATATGTTGTAATTTCGTGATACTTTATTAAAAAGTGTCACTAACAAAGTGTCACTATAAGTCTGTTTTCTACTAGTGACAAGAACTACCTAACAAACTTTGAATTAATCTTTTCCTATCATCAGTTGTTAATTTTGAACTGATACCTGTGAGACTTTTAACTGTAGGTACTACAGGTGGCTGTACTGATTGTGAGCTGCTTGGAGGTGAAAACTGTCTGAGATCCACCACATCCAAGGACAGTGCATAATTCGTTTGCAGTGAAGGCAGTGCTTCTTCTTAGGGTTGTATTCAATGCTTACTTGTTGTAATGAATGAGGTGTATTTATACTTTGATGGAGTATATAGGTCCAGGCCGAAGGATACGACAACACTGAAGAACAAGTAAAGAACTAACCTTGAAGATTGTTGAGAAATGAAGAACACTGATGAACACCTTATCTCTCCAGAAAATCCAGTAGCACTTCGTTAGCTCAGGTCACAAATGAGCATCTCGCTTCAGAGGGGAGGGGTACTTATAGACCTCCTCCAACGATCACTACACGTGGCACCTCCCAAGTGGTCACACGTACGTCCACCACCCCAAGGACCAATGAGGTTCCACCGCTTCAAAGATGGGTATGGCCCATTTCCAGCACTATCAGCCCAGTTCCAATGGATACGCAACGGTTCAACGAACCAGCAAGTTGCGCCTACATCGGCCGAAACATTCAACGGCCACACCAAAGCAATCAACATCACCTCAACGGCTTTACCCATATCAGAACGCCACCTCGGCATCAAAAGCCCCAAGGTTTGCCCGTATCGGCCGCACATATCACCAACAGCATGGCCTCTTCGACGGCCACACAAGTCAGGTAGGGTAGAACCTAACAGCCATCGGCCCTCGTATAAAACCTACTGCTGATAACCTCTTGAAAGCGACCTGCGTCCAAAGGTTCTCCCACAGAGTTACCTTGGTCAGGAATCGCCAAGAGGTTGGATTCAGGGGAAATGCGAGAATCCCGCTTCGGCCTGGGGTTTCACTTTACTCCTTCACCCCTCACTCATCCTTTGGCCTGAAGCAGTGGGGGACTGGGGGACTACATCGGCTTCAACGCAAAGATGAAAATTAAAAACTCAAACCAAGCATACAAGTACAAATGATGACATCACAACATCGGCACACCACAACGTCCAAAACGTGACTCATCGGCTACTCAAGCCAGGGCACTCATCGTCCTCAAGCATGAAAGCGCGCACCACCCTCAGAAGAAGGACCTCCTTCATCCACAGTGGATTCCGCACAACGGCCAAACACAGAAAATATCCACAACGGTACCGCGTCGGCCAAAAACATCAATGCCACAAGAATCTACTCTCTTTCACTTCGTCTGCACCTCAGCTCAGAGAGTGGGGGACTCCTGATGGAGTATATGGGTCCAGACCCCATGACCCACATACTCAGAAGAATAAGAAGCCCAACTATCACCAAGCAGGTCCTCCGTCGGCCAGATGGCCCTCCATCGGCCGGAAAGACATCAACTCAGAATATGGTCCAGAAGCAAGGAGAACCGGGCTGACCCCCGTCGGCCGGGTCTCCATCAGCCATGTCTCCGTCGGCCAGACCTCCGTCGTCCACAAAGAGCTCACAGAGCCAGATTTCATACTTAGTCAATTTACATACTTTGTATTCGGCCCAATAGAGGCCTAATTGTAATCGGGCCTCCCAAGCTCAAGACTTGGGAGTCCAGCCCACATTTTCTCTATAAATACTCCCCTTGGGGGTAGTTGTATAGGTTTCACAATACATTTATTACAGTATTCGTTGCACTTCTCTCTCTAGCTCTCACTTCTCTCTAAAGGGTTAATACTCTATCATATGTGTACCCATTTGGTAGATGTAAAAGTGTTTGAAGTTAAAATTAGGAGGGAGATTCGAATTTTTTGGTGCCAAATTATCTTCGCAGACAATTAAGATGTACTGTAGAACCATCTTGTCATATCTTTTCTTAGTAATTTGATTTTTTAATGGCCACTTGTTTTTCAATTAAGAGTGCTTGTTGATTTCGGCCCAATCCCCTCCCATTTTTACCGCCTGCTTTTTTGGGAAGTTACCCTCACCTTTGTGAGGGTATTTTTGGAAAGTGAAACCCATTTCTTTCCTTCTCTTAATTAGCCCAAAGTCAAACCATGACAAACTTTGAGGGACGAAGAAAGTACTAGTTATACCACCAATGGGTAGTTAGATGCATTGAACCCAGTTCTGGATGACTGATCCTAACAACCAAATATTCTACATTAAATGCGCAATCACCACGATCTTGGCTTCCCGCCAAGGGGTGGGGAGGTTCATCCACATGGATTTGCCTTGCTCGATCCCGACCACCAGATCTTCTGCATTAAATGCGCAACCACCAAATCTTCTGTATTAAATGCAGAATCCCGCCAGGATCTTGGTTGTCCGCCAAGGGGTGGGGACATTCGTCCCCATGAGCCTGCCTTCTGTTTCCAGCGAGATGTACGTCTCGTTCTGCTCCTAGGCCAAGGTACCTGATATGCTTGGATACGTACGTCCCCTGGATGATGGGGAAGGCTATCCGGTTGTCTTGGGCCTTCTGGGGACATTCGTCCCCATGAGCTTGCCTCATGTTTCCTGCCGAAGTCCTTCGAGACGTGCGTCTCGTGCTGCTCCTGGGCCAAGGTACCTGACTACGCTAGGATACGTACGTCCCCTGGGCTTGGCCCCGTTGGGGACGAACCTCGTCGGTGATAACGGGGGCTAACATGTTGTCTTGGGCCTTCTCCGAACGTTTGTAGGATAAGGGTTTATAGGGCAACCCCCATTGGGCCATTAACCCAACACAAGTCCCCCACTTCTGATGTTCCGAGCGTGCGTGGGACATAAGGAAGTAGAATTGACTCTGACGTATGTCGCCAGCCAATACCCTTGGTGCCTCCCAAGTCATAGGCAGAAGGGTACCTCATTAAAAACTCCGTTGAGGAAAAAACCCAGTGGGAAAAATCCTAATGGAGGAAAAAGAGTATACTCCGCTCTGCCATGAATTCTGGAGAGGGAAACGACACCCCTGTGAGTAGTTCTGGGGGGTCTCGCCAAAAGGTACGGCCTTAGAGGATGGCCGTCTGGTGTACTGCTTTTAGCCGATGCACCTGACGCGGTGGTTGTCTGATGTATCCTGGATCTCCGGACGTCTTGTTTTCTTTATTCAATGGATCTCCATACCCGGTCGTCTATGTAAATAGCCATTGGGGACGTACGTCTTCCCGTCTAGAGGGAGGGTTTTCTTTGTTGTTCGTCTCTGGGGACGTCCATACTCCGGATGCCAGGCTTGGTTCTCCTTGGGATATCATGATCTCGATACGCTCAGCCTTGGCAGGCTCAGTCTGTGGATATGTTAGGCGTCTAGAGGCCCTCGGCCGTGAGGCACATCTTGTGGCCCTCGACCTCTTCGTGGATGATGCTTGTCTCCAGACCCTCGGCCTCTGAAGTGGAGATGCTTGTCTCCAGACCCTCAGTCTCTACCTTGGCTTCTCACCGGTCTTTGGCGACGAACGGGTTTCCTGCTTTTGGGTTTCTCTTGTTTCGTTCGTCCACCTTAACACCGCATCGGCAGCTTAAGCCTTGAGGCCGTACCGCACTGGTTAGTGTTCTTTGAGGGAGAACACGTTTATCCACTTTGGGACGTTCGTCCACCTTCCCACCACACCAGTAGCTTAAGCCCTGAGGTCGTACCGCACTGGTTAGTGTTCTTTGATGGAGAACATGTTTGTCCTCATTGGGACGTTCGTCCACCTTCCCACCGCACCGGAAGCTTAAGCCTTGAGGCCGTACCGCACTGGTTAATGTTCTTTAATGTAGAACATGTTTATCCTCTTTGGGATTCCCTGACCTCGAGAGTTATGTCTCCCTCTTCCCCCAATTTTTATTTTTTTGGGAGGAAGGAATTTAGCAAAATGGTGTCACTGATAGGATTTCTTCAGGTGCTCTACGTTCCACATGCCACCAGCATGTCCGTCCATGTTGTGGAGGAAGGACGTCCGATGGCGTATACCCTACATCCCCGAAGATCACTTGATCTCCAATTTCTTCTTGTGGCCGTCTGGCCCGAGGGATCCCTCCGGGCGTTTATCGGCATGGCGATAATCGGCGTCTTGGACCTCTGCCTCCCGCTGATCGTCCCCGCGCCATGTGAATGGTTCCTGGTTCGGTTGTTTCCGGTTTTGAGGGGTTGGTCCCCTTGTGAACTCTCTGAGGTAGCCCCTCCGATTAAGTCCTTCAATGGCCATCCTCGTGTTGTTGCAGTGATCTGTGATGTGCCCTTCCTTGCGATGGTATTCGCAGTAGGCGTTGAGGTTCTTTCGTATTGGGCCTCTAGCGATGGGCGACACTTCGAGCATCCCTTCATCCCTGATGGCCTCAAAGATTTGGCTCACCGTGAATGCCAAGGGGGTAAGTCCAGTACATCCGTTGGGCTTTGTCTAGAGGACCCTAGGTTTCCCAAGGGGCGTAGCCACCGCTCGTCTTCTTCTTTTTTGTTTCGAGGGGTCTGATGGCCTTGGCCCCAGACGGTCCGATATTTTGCGGCTTGGAGGGACGGACATCCCATCCCGTTGGGCAATTTCTTCCTCGATTGCCGCATATTTCTATGCCCTGGCTAGTACCTCGACATAACTGCTCCCAGGGTTCCTCTTCAAATCCATGTAAAGATCCTCGGTTACAAGTGTGTTGGTGAAGAAGGTGATGCCCGTGCACTCCGTGAGGTCCTCGACCTTCAGGGTTTCATCCCTCCACCGTATGAGGAAGGTGGTTAGGGTTTCCTCCTTCCTTTGGCGGACGCTCGTCAACCAGCTGATGTTCCTCTTCG